CAAAACAATGATTCGATTATTGTATTACACGAGTCAGGACGAATGATATATCGCTGTATCAACGTTTTGCCTCACTTCCTCTTGCATATTGATTTGGCCTTCCAGCACTTGTATAAGAAAAGCTTTAGATTTCATGATCCTCTTATGTTCCCATGATTACTGTTGTTATTACACAAATAAAGAACGTGTACAACATGAACATGTGACAATACAGATTTGTAAATAAGGGGGGGGGACCCTAACCCTCTGGTAAAGAACACCTGAGATAACTCCTCACTGTCCCTGCTTTGCAAACAAACCTTGTGTATTCAGAGCTGCGGTGCCTGACCCTGCGATCAGATGTGTCTGCAGCTAATGAGGTGTGGCACCTGACCTGTAGTCATGAGCAAAAGGCCAGCCGTGTTCTATTTTTAAATCTGGACTTTAACCAGGTGAAGCCTGCAGCAAAAATCTTGCCATTATTTTCTGTGCACAAGAGCCCAAGATTAAAAACCAGGGGATGTGCGTTACAGAGCTGGATACACACACACACACACACACACACACACACACACACACTGCTCCAGATAGGAGACATGTTGGGGATTAATAAACAACAATATGCAAGCTGGCATTCCTTCCTCACCAGAGAGAGAGAGAGAGAGAGAGAGAGAGAGTTTACAACGTCAAAGTGAAGCTCTCCAAGGCTTTAAGTCAGGCGGGTCTCCATAGCAACTAGTTGACTAGAGACAGTGAGGGGAGAATAAATATGATAGGTGTTTTTGTCTTTAAGGAATATCACAGCTCATTAAAAGGAGATTAAGTGGATTACAAAGGTCGTGAAATAATGTGTGATCTGGGCAGATAGAGACATGGTACCTGACTGGAGCTGGATGGAAAGGAGGAGATTGGCGGGACGTCCAAAACCTTGAGCTCGTACATGTTGCCGTTGAGGATGACGGAGGGTCTGTACACGTATCTGGTCCTGGTCGGAGTGTACACCTCCGAGAAATCGTTATAGATGAACTGGCGGATTATAGAAGTTTTCCCCACTCCGGGAGCACCGATGACTGCGATACTCAGCGTCTCCACCATTCCTGGAGCTCGGGTTCAGCACCATGGACAGCGGCGACGACAAACCACAGATGTGACCGTGCAGAGAGACACACACACACACACTCTCTCACACACACACACTCACACACACACACAGCTGGCCGCCGCTGCTGCTGCTGCTCCTCTGGTGGAATTTCAATCCAGCAGCCGCTTAATGAATCACCTTAACCGGGTTCAACTGCGTGAGATTACGCGAACCAATGACCGAGCGGATCATCCAGAGCGCAGAAAAACTTTATCCCCGTAAATAAAATAAAAATCCGTGCAGCTTGGAGGTTATCAGAAATAAATCCCAGCCGTGATCACGCAGATGGATGGAATTTCGTCCAACACAGAGACACAAACTCTTGTTTTTTTTTCCAGAGGACATCCCCAGGCGACCCCGTCCCCGGAGAGGAAGCGTAAAAGTCGGTCCTCGTCGTCCCCACACGTGGACAGAACCTCATCCAGGCTAGACTCTGATGACCTTGTCTTCATTGATTATCTCCTCCTCTGCACCTCTCACTCATTTTCCAGCGATGCACCACATCCACAACCTCCGCCAGCGCGCGCCTCCATCACAGGCAGGACGCGCGCGCAGCAAACGCCGGCCTCGCGAATACGCTTTCCACGTGTTCTGAAACACACAACCCCATGATCCTTATTTCCATTCGATGACGGAGAGATAGATTCAACATCCGGGAATCTGGAGCCTATTAACGAGCAAGATGTGTGTTTGTGAGTGTGTGTGTGTGTGTGTGTGTGTGTGTGTGTGTGTGTGTGTGTGTGTGTGTGTGTGTGTGTGTGTGTGTGTGTGTCAGAGAGACTTGCTTCGGTCTCTCTCTCTCCCCTTCTCTGTCTCTATTTCTCTCTCTCTCTCTCTCCTCTCTCTCTCTTTCTTTCTCTGTCTATTTCTCTCTCTCTCTCTCCCCTCTCTCTCTTTCTTTCTCTGTCTCTATTTCTCTCTCTCTCTCTCTCCCTCTCTCTCTTTCTTTCTCTGTCTCTATTTCTCTCTCTCTCTCTCTCTCCTCTCTCTCTTTCTTTCTCTGTCTCTATTTCTCTCTCTCTCCCCCTCTCTCCCTCCCTCTCTCTCTCTCTTTCTTTCTCTGTCTCTCTCTTTCCTTCCCTCTCCCCCTCTCTCTCTCTCTCTCTCCCTCCCCTCTCTCTCTTTCTTTCTCTGTCTCTCTTTCTCTCTCTCTCGCTTTCCCTCTCTCTCTCTCTCACTCAGGGAATAAAAGACAGTGGAGCTGCAGGCCACACACACACACACACCACACACACACACACACACACACACACACACACACACACACACACACACACACACACACACACACACACACACACACAGACAGAGGCCCCTCTGTCCCATCGTTCACTGCGCCTCACTCCGGTTCAGTTCACTCTGAGGAGTCAATATGAAACATTTGATGGAGATGAGTTTGTAGTTTCTGATGAGATCAGTGATAAATACATCTTTTGCTAAAGTGTATTTCTCTTCAGGAGTTATTGAGTTATTTATCAAAGCATTTAATGCTGATGCATCATCTCAGCATCCCTTAAACAATAACAGACAAAACAATAGCAAATGTCTTTATCTTGTTTTGTTTTTTTTCCTCTTTCTTACTTAATGAATGGCAGAAAAACTGACAAGAGGTCAATGATGCTAAAGGAAGTTTATTTCATCTTACTTCACAGAAAAGTGATTTTAATCAGGGAGAAACACATCCAAAAACCTTACTTTAGTATAAGTAGTAATTACACCCGGTTTAGAGATGCTAAAAGAAGGCCCTTTAGAATCCCAGAATTCAAGATGTATAAAGTCATGATTCAAAATCAACATGTAGAAATACACAGAATTGTTCATTACAGAATCCCAAACATAATTATTATTGGTGGTGCATTCACTAATGTTGCAGGCAGCCGACCAAGAGGACAATCATTTTCAGTGCCTTAATAAACCCTTTGTTGTCTGTACATCTCCATGTTTTATTCATGTACAAGCTGCTCCAAACCAACTGATCCAAAAGGGAATAATAAACATGTTTGGATTTAGGTAGTTTTCTGCATAATTATCCAAAATGAATTATTAGTTGAATTGTATTTGGTATAATTAATCTTTGTTAGGGGCCTTCCATTTAGTCAAGCATCACATTATCCAAATAAGCAGTGAGTAATAGACTGGGCTAGAAATGTTCTTTAGTGCATACTGTATATATCTTTGGGAGCCAACAATCATCACATCTAGTGACTGTTTTACAAATCAGCTGCTGAATACATGATGTGTTTTCTGACTTTTTATGAACTACAGCAACCTGGCCCACTTAGCATCTTAGTAAATTTAATGAAAGTCAATTTGAGAAGCTTCTCTTTCTCTTCCAGTTCAGTAACAGCAAAGTAATCTGTCGCAGGTGTGTACTGATCTGTAAGTGTGATAGAGGGAGAAACCTTCATGTAGTTAGTGGGAGGGTCGACCTATTATTGGCCTGGACGATGATCTGGGACAGGTATTGGGCATTTAGCCAGTTTTCTGTTTAAGGCTTTTATTTTAGTCTTCAACAATAAAATGGATTTATCAAAATGTGCTAGGCTCTGCTGCAGGTGTGTCTTCACCTCTGGGTCTGATTTCACTCACCACTCTGTCTCACCCGATGTCCCGCCCACATCACTATTGGATTGGCAAGACAAGTAATACCCTCTAAAACACGGAAGCCTGGCTGCTTCCACTGACATGCACAGAGACGAGAGCAGCCTGGAGCAGGTGGAGAGTCTCCGGTTGAGTTTGTAAAGTTTGACAGAAAAATCATCGTCATCGATATCATTAAGTGTGTGGATGTTCATGAAAGAGCTGGGTCTTTAGCTTTTTCTTAAAGGTGCAGAGGGACTCTGCAGGTCCGATGGAGTTTGGTAATTTGTTCCACCACGGAAGGGGGGGGCGACAGAGGAGAAGAGTCTAGTCAGAGACTTAGGACCCTGTTGTGAAGGTTGGATCAGACGCCATTCAGTCGCAGAGCGTAGAGGGGGGAGGAGTAGACGTGGATTATAGATTTTAGGTAAAGAGGAGTTGTTTGCTGATTTGTAAGCGAGCAGCAGAGTTTTAAATTTGACACATTGGTTGACCAAATATCTGTTATCGGTGTCAGAGACAACTAATCATGAGTAGCAGGCCTGAAAAACCAATACCAGTCGACCCTCAGTTAGCGTGATGATCCTGCTTCAGTAAACAAGACTCTATTATTTTTGGCAGAGCGCCACTTTCTTCATCAGTTACACTTCTGTGTCGGCGTGTAAAAACACAATGATCACTTTGTCAGGGGGTTAGAAACTGTTTATCTAAACTGACTGGGCCGTTAAAAACAAAGGCAGTGCAGTGGTGCCCCCTGTTGGAATGCATTCATCAAACAGGATCAATATTGTTTACCATTTATTCACAGAAAAAAAAAAAGGTGGAGGAGTAAGTGTGTATGTTTGGAAGCGTCGCTAACAACGAGAGAAACTGACCTGAGATCTGACCTGAGATCTGAGAGGTGTTCAGGGACGCAGATCAAATCCTGGTTTAGCTCTTCCAGGCAGCTCGGGACTTTGAGCGCCACGACTCGGCTTCACAGGAGGAGTCGACTCAAAGACGCACTCGACTCAAGTCACCTCGTTTCTCAAGGTTGAACAACACTGAGAGACTTTGTATTCAAAGTCTGCAGCAGTGGAGCGGAGCCTGCGTGAGGGGGAGTGAACGCCTCAAAGGTCATCAATGATTATAAAGTATGATGTGCCAAAACAAGACGCGGCAGCTCTCGGGGAGTAGGGAACTCTGCCAAGTAAATAAAACTGAGACAACGTTTAGACGCCTGTGACACAGCGCAATGAGGCACAATAACAAACAGTCACATTCTCAATATGTAAATACTGAAGAAAAAAGAGCGAACATGGGGAATTCATCAAGACTTTTAATGGGTCTTTTTTTTCAAATGATGTACACACAATGAAAAAAAAAAAAAAATCAAAAGCATCTGATTAAATATTTGATTTTTTACAGCATATGAATCAGCCATCACCCCACACACACACACACGCACACACACACACAAAGACACACACTCAGAATCCACAGCCTCCTCTGTTATCTTAACAAGGTGTTAGAGTAAGTGCATACATCCTGTAGAGCTGATAAAATGAGCTCCAGTGTAATGACTCGTAAAAAAGAAATCCAATTCATCTCGAGTCTGAATGTCAAACTGAAGCACTGGAAGACGTTCGAGCCTCCTTTTGTGCCTCCTACATGTACGCTCATAATTACTCAGGTGTGACAAACTTACATCTTTTATTTTTAAGTGTGGAGATATCTCACCCGAGCCTTCATCTCAGGTGGTGCTTGACAGAGCTGCTATCAGGATACAGAGAGAGAGAGAGAGAGAGAGAGAGAGAGAGAGAGAGCAAAGTGGCAGAGAGCGCCCGAGTGGCTGACACTGATGCAGGGCGAAGCGGCACAAACAAAATCCTCAACACCTGAGACCCTCTCTCCCCCGTCTGACACATGTACGCTAACAAGACTACACACACAAAAAAACCAAAGCTTGGAATGACTAAGAGAGCACGCAGCGGAAAACTGCTGCATGGTCTAAAACACGTCCAGAAAATTAAAGAAATAAGTCAAGAAAACAGGTCAGAAAGAAAAGTCTCCATGCACACATCAGACAGTCTGCCCACGGACGCTAAAGCAAACTCTACAGAATGACAAAGACAACAAATATGTTTTTATGTGACTTCAGAGGCCTTCACACACGGAGGGGGGGGGAGGGTTAAGGCCTGTCGCATTCGAACTGAGCGTGCCCCGAAATAAATGTGCCGACAGCGATGGTTCACCTGCTGATTTGCAGGTGCTAAAAATAGACTCAATTTGCAGAGAAGTGGGGGCTGGATAATGATCAGAGAGCCTCATGCAGAGAAAACAGACGCGAGATTTTCAAGTCCTACTGACGTCTGCACCAGAGAGAATCGCTGGATGGCTCAGGTGGAGACGAGTGTGAAAGTGTTGATTGAGAAAGTGAAGCTCGAGCTATGGGTGGAAAAAAAAGAAAAAGCAGACAAAGAAGGGGCAGGAGAGACTAAAGCAGACATTTCTGAAGTTTTGAGAAAACTTTGAGACGTGTTGAAATTGAACAGAAATCATCATTAATCCTAGTTTAACAGCTGGATGACACACAGAGTGCAGCCTCCCCAGCAGGGGGGGGAAGAGGCTCCTGCTCTACATGAGTGTGTGTGTAATCTGCTCGCTGGGTCAGGTGAGGGGGAGAGATCAGGAGGAGGTGTCAGCAGCCGGGTCGACGACGGGGTTGGGTTTTCAGTTCTTCAGCATGGCCTCGTAGCTCTGGAACACACACTGGGAGACTTCTGGAGCTCTGCACTTCAGAGAGACCTGAGGGGAGAGAGAGAAAGAGGAGAGGAGCGGGGATGAGCATGATCTGACTTCTAAGTTCAGGATTAAAATGCAAGGTTTGGAAAGACGCGTCAGCAGCACGGAGCAGGATTCATAAATACCTGCTGCAGGATAAAAACAAGATATCAACGGTGGAAACAAGTCGCAGAAAAGAATCCACAGTGACAAATGCTGGATATCAAACGTGCAAAGTGTGAAAAACATTCTTCCATACTGCGATAGGAAGATGAGATGAAATACCAATAACTAAAATGTAAAGAATGCATGTGTGTGTGTGTGTATGATCCTTTTACTGAACACTTGTTGGACATGCAGTACAGCTGTAACAACACCTTTCCCCCTTAACCAGAAGAGGACTTAACAGCTATAACAACGTTTTGATGTTTATCTGCTGTTCTTCATGTTTTAACACAACACCTGTGGGAATCCAAAATTGCATTACTTATTTATTTAAATGTATTTAACCTCATTGAGAGTAAGAATCTCATTTGTGAGAGTGTCCTGGCCAAGAGGGGGCAGCCGCACAACAAAGAGTTACAAACATAAATCACAGAGTAATTTAAAAAAACATGTTTTAACATGTCCTGAGTCACAGAGCAGAAAGTCATCAGTCAAAGCATCGACAACTTCAATCTACTTCTAAAACGATTTAGAGAAACCAGCTCCCCCAGACACAGATCATCCTGCAGGAGATTCCAGGCCGCGGGAGCAGCGTACCTGAAACTCCATTTTTCCCCATTTCAAGACGCACTTTGGGAAAATGAAACCAATGAAGTTTTTTTTTTTCCACCACCAAAATGAGCACGAACGACTCAAAGAGTATCTGATCTTAAATGAAGCTTCATCTGCATCAGAGAGGTATGAAAGGAGTCAATCGAACAGGTGAACCAGATCACTTCAGTTTTCTTGTATACCTGTTTGTTCCCCCTCCATCTGCTGTTCTTCATGTCTGACACAACACCTGTGTGTGCAGCTGACTGCATCAAAAAGCTGAGAGAGCATCGGGACTCCATCCAACAGGTCAAATGCAAACACGCTGAGTGAGAGAGAAGTGTTTGTCTACATTCATTCCTTTCTTGTTTAATGCAATAAATTCTATAGCAATGGTTTTTTTTTTTGCTGTGAACGCTCATAATGAAAAGATAATGTGATTAATAGAGATTAGAGACAGAGCTGTTCACTTATTTACTCACAGGATCCTTGACAAAGAGGAAAAGAGCGTGAACTACTTGTAAGAATGTCTTCAATCTGATTATTAATATCATGTGGATTAAAGAGACTGAAGTGGAAAAGCAGAAGCTCAGGTGGTAGAGTCGGTCGTCTCTCAACCGGAAGGGTTCAATCCCCAGCTCCTGCAGCCACATGTCTGATGTGTCCTTGGGCAAGACACTTAACCCCAAATTGCTCCCACTGTTACTTCTGATGGTCACCTATAGCAACCTCTGCCATCAGGGTGTGAACGTGTGAATGTGACCTGCGGTGTAAAAAGTGTTACACAAGCTCAAGCTCCATTTATCATTTTTCCATTTTCAGTTGAGAAAATATTTCTCCATTCGAAGTCTCCTCACTCAGACAGCGATGGATATACAGACACACAAACACACAGCCTCTCTTTGAAGTCTGTCTCAGCTGGGAGAAGCTTCTGGAAGAGAGTCTCTTTTTCCCCCATCAGTGCTCATAATGCTGACGTTACTTCCTCAGACGCTGAGGAAACACGAGGCAGCTGGAGTTTATTACATCAGGATGTATTCAGTCTGCAGTTAACACTCCATCACTGGCGGAGGAGACGGTGATGGTGGATATTAGAAAATGTTTCACATATTAATTACTGCAGAGTGTAAAGCAGCTGTTCAGTCTCTGAGGATTAATGAGAGTTTTAATAAACCTGGTGTCTCACAAGTCAAGAAACAACCTGCAGACACAAACACAAACACACACAGAAACACACACACACAGACAGACACACACAGAAACACAGAAACACACAGACACAGAGACAGAAACACACACACACAAACACACACACATAGACAGACACACACACACACACACAGAGACAGAAACACAAACACACACACAGAGAAACACACACACACAGACAGACAGACACACACACACAGACAGAAACACAAACACACACACAGAGAAACACACACACACAGACAGACAGACACACACACACAGAAACACACAGACAGACAGACACACAGAAACAGAAACACACACACATAGACAGAAACACACACAAACACACAGAGACAGACAGAAACACACACACACAGAGACAGACAGAAACACACACAGACAGACAGACAGACAGAAACACACACACACAGAGACAGACAGAAACACACACAGACAGACAGACAGACAGACAGACAGACAGACACAGTTTCTCAAAGTCACATATTTTCCAGTGGAAAGTTTTCAGGGTCAGATTCAGTTTTCTAAAGATAGAAGGCGCCGATCCTCAGAGACTTTGAGAGAAACACTGGAAAATAAATGCTGAGTTCAGGGACAATCCTCCCAGTTTGAAATCTGCATTTGGCTTTAAGTTGTTTTTCTGACTTGTTACTTTCTTTTCAGAACAGCAGAGAGGAAACACATTAGTCAAACCAGAGATGTTGTGATAACATACCCTGCTGGGAACCAGGCAAATCCATAAACAACAGCTAGCTGAACTGACAGGCTACAGTGTACTGCAGCTCATAAGCTCCGCCTCCTCCATGTTTACAGATGGGACATCGGGCAAACTATAACATTTTAATATAACTCTTTTCCCAACATGGTTTCTATCACTAAGGTTAGCTTGTATCATGCTAAATGAGGTCCAACAGTTCTTTAGTCGTAAAGGTAACGTTTTAATGAGTTTTTAGATGTTAGAAACAGAAGATGTAACGCCATGATTGACAGAACTCTTTGCACCCGAGTAGCAGATTAGAGGAGAAATGGTGAGAGGGAACATAAGGAACACAAACAGGAGTCATTAGACTTTAAATAACCGTGAGCGTCTGCATCAAACTGACACGAGAATCTGTTCTGCTGCCGACCGTGCCCCACCTGAGGGATCTCTGACATTTCATCGATAAGTGAAATGTGTGTTTTACTTCGACCTCCACCCCAGCGGCGAGGAAGTGTGGACAACAGGAATGTGAGGAAATACAAAAGAGAACTCCTTCCTGCATCTTTCCCCCTATCCCACATTTCTTTAGTAACACAACAATGAGAAAGGTCTTTCACCTGCTTTCTTTGTAAAGCGTCTCGAGAGAACACTTGTTATGAATTGACGCTTTACAAATAAGAGTAGGGTGAAATGTGTGTAGGGAGCAATTGGGGAGCAATAGAAAACGAGAAATGACTGTAATATTGGGTGGCTAGGAGTAGGACTTCTATTTTTGTTGCCATGGTTTTGAATCTGTAATTGATTTGATCTGAACTAGATGCATATTGAAGTATAAACATGTACGGTCGTTGCTCTTACACACGTTTCTTCTGCTGTGATGCGTTCAGGAGCAACTGTAACGACCGCATTTCCCCCTGGGGATGAATAAAGTATTTCTGATTCTGACGTTCTCTCTCTGTTTCTCTGCGCAGCCTGTGCGATGGCGAGCGGGCTCTCCTGTCAGAGACATGAGTTGTGATGATCATCCACTGATTAATCCATCCCGGGTTGTCGTTCTCTCAGAAGGTTAAATAAATAAAAGCGCTTAAATGGGTCACCAGATCTGTTTTGGCAGCCTGCCTGAGTAAAGTCTATGCGAGTGAAACACTAAATGTGTATTTGCCAACTGGTCTGGTGATGTCAGGCCAGCGATCACATGCTTTAAAGACCCAACGGTGTGAACTGTGCTCATTTTGTTAACGACAAATATGACGATATGTTTGTCAGCGACCTTTTTTTACCGTAACAAAGCCAAGACCACGATGACATAAAAACAGATCTTTGAGTAAAAACTCTGATGAAATATCAGATCTGTTTTTATGAAAGGAAGAATGTGCAACATGTTACACATAAATAAAGCAGAAATCAAGTCTCTCCTGTGTAAATGTGTCTCTGAGTCATGACTGTCTACAATGAGGGAGAAGCTCGAGTCCTGCTGGCTGTGTTGTTGTCTGAGTCGTGTTTACATCATGTTTACATGGACGGGACGGTCCTGCATATGAAGCTGTTTTAGTCCAGGACTAGAGAAAAGAAGAAGAACATACTCACTGGTTATTTGGATGTCATGTAAGTGTGTTTAGATCTCGCTCATTCTGTGTTAATGTATGTGCAATATGAAGCTACGAGCTAACAGAAGTGTGCTAACATTAGCATGCTAACACAACAATGCAGCACACAGGTGATTGCAGCTCGAGGAAAGGACGATTTTGTCCGCTGCTTGCTCTAAATGGTGTTTAATTATGTTGCATTCTGATTCATAACTCCTTTGTGTGAACGTGAGTGGAGAGGAGATGGAGGTGTGTCTCTGGAGGAGAGCGGAGGCTTCAGAATAGAGGAGGTGTGGCCAAACAGAAGTTTGTTTTGGTTTCATGCTGGAGCTCAAGGGCGACATCTACTGGATCAAAAAGTCGCACATTCTTCCTTTAACAAGACAAGAAGAGACTAAAATGTTCGTGGTGAGTTGTCAAACATCCAACATCTCTGATATTTTACCCAACAGTGCAGCTATCCCCTTTGTTAAAATACAAGCAGGAGATAGGAGAGGTGTGTGTGAACTACAGAGAGCAAGAGCTCACGCCATAACAACTTACAATAACTCTGACCAAGCAGCAAAGTGCCTACGGTCTGAAAGGTGTTAAATCAGTTATAAGGCTTCCCTTTACAAAGATTTATTAAAGATGTTTGAGAGGTTAGGGGCGCAGTGGTTAGTGCGCGCGCCCCATGTATGGAGGCTGTCGTCTCAAGTGGGCAGCCCGGGTTCACATCCCACCTGTGGCTTCTTTCCTGCATGTCATTCCCCGCTCTCTCTCTCGCTCTC